TAGAACCTTCTGAATGTCACTCCTGAAAACACCCATTGCTATGTGACTATAAATGTCCTTTGTGTCAGAATACTATCCAACTCCGATTTCACATGTTGTCCTTATGTCATACTAGCTTTATACAAGAGTAGGATAAATATATATTTTTCTGCATTTAACATTTGATAATCATGATTTGGAGCATGAAAATTATGTGGAGAATACTTTTGACAGAGCAACAGTGGCAAAATTCCACAAAGTTTAATAATTTCCACAACTCTCCAAAGTTTTGTGTTCCTTATCTTATTTGCTGGTTTCTCAATTTGTTCCTTTTCTAGTGAAATTAATACAAAGTTGCCCCAAAATGTGAAAATGTGGGCACTTCAAAAATAAAACAAAGCATGGCAATTCCTTGACAATTCAGACTGGTTCGAGACTATTCTACAAAACCTTAAATCATGATTTCTATTTTTCCTTGATAGTTCTGTGCCTTTAAATAAGAATGCCAGTTAGTGCTTATTGGAGTTGTGGTTAAGAGTGATAGTAATTGGTTTATTTAAACAGTAGGAACAGGTACCATTCATTGAAGTCACTCACACTTACTCAGCAGCTGGCCATGGCTTTCAGTCATTCCTATCCCTAGGCCATATTTGACCAAGAGGCGAGAAGCACTGTATTCTGTTACCAATCCCCTTTGGGAACCATTCCCTGTGAAGTAAAATATGAAAAGCATTCTAAAGCTCTCGCTAACTCAGGAAGGGAACATGCCTTCCCAGGTCCATAGCAATATATAGGGGGCCATAGTTACTCTTTAAAAGTAAACTTTGAAGTGACACATTATACAAATCCCCAATGTCGTCTTAAATAAATATTGGGGATGGTTATTTTGAAAAGAGCATTTAATAATTGTAAGTTTAATATTCTTCTTTAGGAAAAACCTGGAGAGAGATTACTATAAAAGACACCTTTATATAGAAGCAATCTTTGATTCAAACAATTACGTTCAACAAGTTAAAACAAAATTTATTTTTCAGACTTCTTTTGTGGGCAAATCATGCCATGTTATGAATGCTATGAATGGAGTCGTGTCAGAATTGTAATTCTCAATAACTTGGTCAGTCAATGGGCAGTGGGGGATGGGAGCCAGGATAAAAAAAATCAAGACAGTGGTCATAACCCTTTTGTATATTTCTTCATATCACACACAAGAAAGGAGTGGAGCTTTGGTTATAAGATCATGACTGCTGTTTTCACTTTTTTGGGTTTAGTCACACTTTCAGGCCTCAAGGCATTCATTAATCTACTTCAGAAAGCATAGATTTCAATAAAAAGCAATTCATGCTAACACATTACACCTTTTTTAAATAAATAAATAAGATCAGACCCGTGTGTCTGCATTACAATTTCCATATGCATATTCACAGAATCTCACCCTATTAGTTTCAATTCCTAATCCAATTTTGACAGATATGATAAGAGCCATTCACCATACTCAAAGCTGAGGAATTCTCTAGGGAAGAGCTTGAGAAGACGAACAGAAATATGAAATTATAGAATAATAAAAAATACATAGAAGCAGAATAACCACCCTTGGGAGCATAAGCCCCTGAAACAGAATGACATTATAGGTCAGCAAAACTGGGAAAATATTCTGATTAATTCCTTGGTCCAGCATTTGGCAGAAAGACACAAGACTATAATGTTACTCCAAGAGCCAAGTTGCTAGTGGTAATATAGTTAAGGGCCAATTTATTCAGATTCAAGAATATGAATTCAGTGAAGTTATTGATCTACTTTAATGCAGTATTCTGACTTATTTTAGGGAAGGAAGTAAATAAGGAAGAAAGGAAAGCTACTATTTTAAAATTGTAGATGAATATTTGAGAAATGAAAGAAAAAGAAAAACAAAGAAGAAAGGAACAATTTTAATGTTAGAGAAAAATACAGCAAGTTGCAATTGGAAAATGAACAGAAAGATCTCAAGAGGATTAAAATATTGGTACCTTATAATCTTAGTTTGTGTTGAAAAGAATCCTCTGTATACATTTCTGTGCAGAATATGTTGAGTCATTAAAAAAAATAAGCAATCACCCTTGACTTCCAATATTGGCTAATTCAGATAAAATAATTTATCTAAAACCAACTAGCACTTGGAACACCAGACATAGGTCCTGTGGTAATTAAGATACTTGATCAATATATTTAAGGCCAAGGTGCTAGTCTAGCAGTTTGTTTATGCAATATAGATAAAAATATGTATTGTCAAGGAATGCTTGATCTGCATATATAAAATCTTGAATCTCTTCAAAACACATAAGGCACATTTCACAACTTTTTCCTTTTTAAATTTCATCTTCAACATGCCCAAATCTTCAACCTCACAAAGACAAAAAACGCCATCTATACTATAGAGGAAATGCTGTTCTCACTTGTCTTGTGTCCATAATTTCACAGTCTCCAGCAATCTGTTCATATAACATATTCTATGGCTGTTAAGTCCTTGGACTTACGTTTGACAGCTCTGCAATGCAATTTGCATTGTTAATTGCAACTTAACAATGGCTTCTCTTATATTTTTCTTTTTAACCATGATGTCATGCCACAATGGTGGAAATAGAAACCAGGAAACTATACTTTGGTTTATGTTTCTGTGTGTCAGGGCATACATTGTCTATAAAGACATTTTATTGGTAAAGGTGAGTAGGTGCATGTATATGATTCACAACCATTTATATTTTAGTAATATTGAATCAGAAGTTTCTGAAATTAATTTCATATCATTCTTTTAATGTTTGGACAAATTACTATCTCTCTTTCTTGGGTTGCCCTAGCCAAGTGATTATTGTGAACAGAGTAACAGGCAGAGCACAAGTTCATTTCATTTTCAAAGAAATCCAAGAAGTCAAGAATTTTCAGTAAATGACTGATAGCAGAGCTCCTTGGCATCTCCAATTAACAGGACAAAGTAGCAGTGTTGACAAAGATCTCAACCTGAGCTTCAGAGTCAAAATAGACAACACTAATCTTGATGGGTAGTGTGCAGGTCCCAAAGCAGACCTCAATACATTTTGCCCGTAAGTAGTAAGGGCTTTTACATAAAATGTTATTATTCAACTGTTTCACCATCGTTGCGACTAATCTTAAACTAAGAATATAATTTCTGTAGTTTTAAATTAATTCATACTATTTAGGTACAATTCTATAGACAATATTCTGAGGGTAAATTCCTCAGGCAATAGTAGGAATTACCTTGTAAAAGACATAGGACTATGCTATTGGTTTGTTGTACTAGTTTAAGTAATTATTAGCAGATAGATTCAGGGAAAGAAGGAGAAAAGTCCATCAATTAGTTACTTTTTGTGAAAATAGGTTAAACTCATCTGAGTGCATTGATTTGTAAATATCCACTGACGGATCAAAACATTATTGGACATAAAAATATTGTCCGTTTGTATCCACAGACTGAAATAAGTAGGTATAATCTTAGCAGAAGATGGCATGGTAACAGTGACTTGATCCTCCTGGTCCACCACATGTTAATTAAAAGCAGAGTGAAAATATAGTGAAAATATAGTGAAAAGAAATACAAGTGAAAGAAGCAAGATTAGAAAGTCCCAAGTGAAAACAAGAATGTGCCTAAGAGATCAGCAATGAGGTCAGGAGTCAAGCTATATCATATTTCAATCAGATTTTAGGCACATCACTACTCTGGTTGCAAAACTGATAGGCCCTTTCAGATTTTAGTCTCTCTGCTTTCACAACAATATATTGCACCATTTCCAAAGCTGTAGAAGCCAGCTTATCTTCTTGCTTCTTCAAGAGTTCTAATTGTTTTGTTTCCTAATGATACGTAATATGACAGTCAAAGGACTATGCTAATATTGAAGAGATCAACATTATTTAAACAGGGAAACAGCCTAAGCTTCCTTCCCTAATGTTTTTCTTTTTCCAGAACTTGCTATAATCTTCCTTAAAAGATACTTATAGTTGCAAGCAGTGGGAGATCAGAGGTAATTCATGACAGTGTGTCATATTTAAGCTACCCTGAAGGCCCCATTCTGTTAAAGTATTACAACTTAACAAAATAAAAGCAACCTATCTGTGCTTAACATACACAAATTATCCTCTTATGGGGATAGGAATTATATGAAACACAGCCTTATTATCTGAGTGTCTACATCAGGTTTAATGTTTGCATAGAAATATTCTCAAAATCATGTACTTCTGCTGGCCTGTTTATAATCTTAGTTAAGAATCAAGGAATTGCCGCTTTGATTTTACAATTTTGCACATTTAACTTTTGATTGTGGGAACATAAAAAGAAAGTTATACAGTCCCACTATCATAGATGCAGTACAAAAAGTTAACAGTAGGACTCACCCCATTATAATGAGGAGGCTTAACAGAATTTTCTAACGATTCAGTTGCAGAATTGGGTCAAATCTGTGTTGTATACAAGCTGTATTCATGAGTGATAACATTACCATTTTCCAGAAATAATTGGGTGGCTATACCCAGGCTGTTAGATTAGCATATTTTCCTTCCCTAACAGTAAAACTTTGTGAAAACTTTGTTCTAATTGATAAAATGCAGGAACAGAATCCACTGAGTATGCATATGTGTATCAAAGCACTAATGCCTAACATGCTACTCACTTAATACTAGTACATGACTGTTATAGAATATCCTATGTGCCTGCTTAGATAATAGTAATATAAGTATTGTATACATAAATGCATACAATTTTTGCAAATTAATATTCATTTTAATTCATGTAAAATAATTAATGTATGCACAGTTACCTGAAATAATTATCACTGACTTTATTACATCATGGTAAATGAGCATACATTTTCAGGCGTAAGCTTTTTTTGGACCCTGATTTTATGTGATATATTTGAAAATTATTAAGTGAGCTGAGGATCATTTTGGGTGTCAGGTTATGATTATAAAGAATTAATGGCAATTGAACAGTGAGTTGTATCTATGTTTTACTCTTCAATGGTTGTTGGTTTCCACACCTGTGCAGTGACACCAACTTTCTTGGCTGAGAATTTTGGCTTGGGAACAGAAAATACAGGAGATGCTGCTGGTTCTTGCTTCAAAAATGTAGGGCAGCCCATTGATGTATAGGACTCATTTACAGGACTAGAAGCATTCGATGGGAAGAATGGTTGTGAGCTGTAGGCTGGTACAGAATACACTGAAGAAGCTTGAACATTAGAGGGAGAACCAGCATTGAGTATTCTTGATGGTACAGCTTGTTTCAAGGCAGACACTGAATCAATCTTTGAAGGGTGTTTGGGAAGGAGATTTTCCTTTGTATCAGACGGAGGTTGAAAAGTAAATAAAGATGCATTAAGCTGGTATGGCTGATGCTTCATCACTTCTAAGGAACTTAATTGTTTCTTAGATTTTTTCTTAGTAGTTTTGGTAGCTCCAGGATGCTGTGACTGAGATTTGGTAGCAGCAAGAGGATAAGATGGAGAATGGATGGGATTATAAGCCACAGGGGGTGGTGCTCGAACATTTGATGAATATTTCCAAGATGCTGGTAATGATGGAGTTGGGGATGAAGCCTGGGGCCGATTGGCCTGCACGGTTTCTGAGTCTACTACATACTTTTCCATCCGTGATTGCCTTTTAGCAAAGAGCTGAGCCCCCTTACCACTCAGTGCTGGGGGCATCTCAAAAGCTGGCCCCATTCCACCAGCAAGAACAGCATTTCCTAAGGGAGTGATGGGTGTTGTTTTGGGAGTATAACTTTGGTGGGGTGATGAAACTTGAGCACCCTTAAAGGAAGGCTCCAGATGAAAAGTACTAGGAGGCTGTGGAGGTTGTGGAGGCTGTGGAGGGGGATAAGCTGGTTGTGCTACTTTGATGGCTGCAGGGCTTGCTACTTCTGGAGACTTTGGTACTGGAAAGATGGGAGCTTGAGTAACAGCCACAACTGGGGGTGACCAGACTGGTGAAATAGGTGTTGTGGCAGTCGGAGAAACCTTTACTGAGGGTTTGGGAGCAACTGGGGGTGGGATCTTTTGTTTGGCAGCCTGGATATGCATGAAATTGCAGGCCTCTGCTCCCAAACTGAGGTAGTCTTCTTCAGGACCTGATTCAAAGCCACCGGTGGCAGATTTTTTGCCTTCTGTATTCTGCACGAGGGACAAAAGAGCAGGATTTGGACTCATTTTGGGGCCTTCTTTAAATGTAAACATAGGCTTTGCAGTGCTTCTTCTCTTGGCCTCCTGTAATATTCCAGTTCTTATTGCAGGCACAGCAATCCGTTCATCCCTGGAGGCAATCTGTTCTGTTGATTCTGTTGGAGACCACAATGTTGACTGACTCATGCTTGTGGCCACTGGAGTCAAAACAGTTCTATATAATGCTTCAGGTGGTGGGCTAACTGAAGTGTAAGGAGGTGGGGCAGGTAGCTCAGAGGGAAGAGTAACCATGCTTCTTGGGGGTGAAAATGGAACTGCCGCTTTGTTCTGAACACCAGGGAAAGGCTTGGCTGTTCTGTTTGAACTAGGTGAGCTAACAGCTTCTGCAGGTGGATGCATCATATTTATCTCTGGGACCACCCTGATGCCATTTTGCTGGACTATTGTCCTAGGACTATGGTTCATTTCTATGTAGCTTTTGCTTATGTGGCTTTTCTGCATTCTGGCAGATTCTTCTTGTTTTGCTTGATAAAAGGAAGAATTCATATTTTGGATGGTCTCTGTTGAAGTGGCCTCTCGGTGTGCCTCAATTCTATGCATACTCTGCATCTTCGTTGCTTCTTGTTCAGCAGTGACCTGGTCTACCCTTTGACGTCTTTTGGCAAACATGAGTGCCCCTTTGCCCTTGGTCTCTGGAAGCAGCTGTGACATCTCGTCCCCACGTTCGGTTTTTTTTTCAATCTCAAGTAGTCCAGTATCCCAATCAAATGTCACAATCCGTTCTTCTTTATCCAGGTCAGAGAAGAAATCTTCATCAATTTCTGACTCACTTGTGCCAAATAGAGTTACTTCAAAAGTGTTCTCCTTCTCACCTTCTTCACCCTCGTCTTCTTCACCTTCGTCTTCGTAACGTTCTAGTTCCCCAGTGCCGTAGCTAACTAAAGTATATTTTCTGGCCCTTTGGCGACGCTTCTTAAACATCAACACTCCTTTGGAATTGGGATTTGGAGCTGCTGTCAGTAAGAGAGCAATACTTTTACATTTAGACTTTGCTTCCTTCACCTGCTTCTCTGATAGGCTCTCACTCCTTCTCAGCCCTGTAGGAAAAGAATAAAGAGCATATTTTAGTGGATAACATGACAACAATTTTAACAATAGCTATTTGGGTTACAAGCCTGTCATACAATTCTTTCTTTATTTAAAGTCTGATTCCTCTCCCCTACAAAGGAAGTATGGGCAGAGCATTAAGATTAATCTTTTCCCACAGTTGCAACCATCACCATTCCATAGCAAGCATTTCCTTCATTAGTGACATTCTTTGATTAATCTTTTCTTCTCACAGATTTGCTATCTCAACTTACACAAACTTTTGATGTTATATATCTATCCAGAAAGAAGTAGATATATGGACAAAGTAAGGTAGAAGATTAATAAGTGGGGCGTATTTTTTTATGCTGAATATTAACTTGGACCTGCAGCGCTTTGAGAGGTTTTAGGATTTATATATACTAATTCAAACAAGACTGACTTCTGTAATAATAAATAATTCATACAGGAATTTTTCTTGTTGAAACATTATCTGGATTGAAATATATGCAATGTAATTTATATAATGGACTATTTTTTGAATATAATAATCACATTTAAGTAATTTATTATTAAATTTTAATCTAGTCCAAGTTCTTTATAGCCAACTATGGGCTAATAGGCTCTAGGATGAATTAGTTTTTTCTTGTTCTGTGCTGTATTAGAATTTGATTTTTAATTTTTATTTTTAACTTAAAAATGTAAATTATTATTTTAGTTTTCATTTATTTTGTGCCTTTGAGTTGTTTTTTAACTCCTAGAAACTGCCTGGATGAGCCCCTGCAGTTTTATGGCAAGAGTTTAGATGTGGTTTGCCATTGCCTGCTTCCTAGGGCTGAGAGAGAGGGACTGGCCCAAGGTCACCCACCCAGAAGTGTTTTATTGGAGACCTTTTTTAAGGAAAAGAATCCTACAATACTCCCCATGAAATTACACTGTTTAACTATTGAATATTACTGAGTAAAATTGAGAAGAATATAATACATCTTTTCTAGCTCAGTATATGCATGTCTGTGTGTGTGTGTAGGGATATTTTATGCTGTTCCTAACCAATAAAAATAAACGTTGATTATTTGGAATTTTGAGAACAAGTGTACAGGATTTGGAAGGCAGTAAGTATATGTGTGTGTGTGTGTATGTATGTATGTTTGTTCATTCATAAAAAATCAGTCATGTGAGAATAATCAGCTTCAAGGAACCAGTTTATCAAAATGCTGCCTGTCACCTCTTCTCTGCTTACTTGTCCTTATTTTTTGGATGGTGTTCTACTTTTTTTTTTATGAAGGAGTGGACTGTGGCCACCCACAATTTAAATATTCTTACGGGCCTGATGTACATCATAGAGGCATTCTTCAAATTATTCTGAAACTGGCATACTCCCTTTCTTTTAATTTTTAAATAGTATGAAATTTCTAGAAGGTCAGGAGGGAAAAGGAAGTTTGCTAACACCAATGATTACATACTAGGTCTCTAGGTGACATGTTGAGGTCTCCAGACCTAGAGGAGGGAAATGACAACATGCAATGGATCCTTCACCATTTAGTCTGGCATTTTCTTTAGACTCTGGAGAGAATATTTTTGCCAACATGTATTCTTAGAATGAACAGTATGTCCCTGTCAGTAATATATTCTGGAATACCAGATGGTTGACAATGGTGAACTGGAAGACATGTAAACTAATAAATGATTTATCTTCATAAAAATTATTTATTTTATTTATTTTCATAAGCAATACATTTTATTTTTCCCGCTCTTTTTTAATTGAATAATTGCTATCTGGTTTGAAATGTGTTGTCCATATTGAGCATTCAGGACAAGCAAGTCACAAATTTATATAGATAGCTGGATAAATTATCATGGATGCAAGCCATATACTCTATAGGCTACAAACTATATATATATTATGGCCAAGTTGTGATATGATGTTCATTAAAATGAAAATATCAGATTCAAAGGGAACAAGCATATCTGGCTTATATCACGTGTTACTGATGATGTGCACATACTACAAGAAATCATTGGTTATCTTACTATCAAACTGTCTGAAAGTAATCATGAAAGTAATTTAAATTAAACCCAGGGTGAAAAATAAGTTGATGTATTGTTGGAGCCCAAGTAGGAAGGAACATCCAAAGAGGGTTTATGTCTGTGTACCTTTTCATAACATGTAATAAATTGTACTTGCAATTGGTTTTAAAAGCAGTATAAAGCATTATAAAGCAGAATAACCTACTGAGTTCATAGTTCAGTTTCAGATAAAATCCTAAAATATTATGAAAACCTACTTTGCTCCCTAAAAGTAAGACTTGTACAAATATTTAGCATGTTTTTCTAACACATTTATTTTAAAATGAGAACACAGATCTGACCAAATGCTTTCTGATTGTTGATTGGGAATATAGTTGACTTAGAAAGTTTAAAGCTAAACTAATATGGAACAAAAATACTAAATGATAGTGTGAGTTTATAATCTAAAATGAACATAAATGTTATATATACTGTAATCAGGCTGCTAATAACATTTTTTTAAGAACTGAAGAGGATATAAACTTGGGTTTATCTTGAAACAACTGTTAGACATTGTTATTATTATGTTTATCATAAGATGAATTACCCTTTTCTAATCTATGTTGCCAGTTATACAGTATTTACATTTTCACAATTTAGTGCAACTATCACTCATTCTGCAATGCAAAGATATTTTGGAATTTGAGATTTTTTCCATGGTAGTGAAAAAGTAATAATAATAATAATAATAATAATAATAATAATAATAATAATAATAATAATAATAATAATAATAATAATAATAATAATAATACATTCTAGGTAACAATTTGCGGTTGCTTCATAAAAATAAAAACCAGTTGTTCCAGACATCCTAACAATTGATTTAGTTTGCTGTTTTACCTCTTAGGCTCCATAAACCATCTCTATTGTTACTTTGCTATCAATCAATCAGAAAAGAGCTGGAAGGGACCTTGTATGTCATCTAGTCCAACCCCCTGCTCAAACAGAAGACTCTATACCATTTCTGACAGATGGCTGTCCATGTTGTAGATATAGCCACATAAATGTACTCTCATAACCACTTGCAAGTTGTCCTTAAAACTGACTGCTTCTGAAATTAATTTGTGACATGGAAATCTATCTTTATCTTTTCTCTTTTCACGTTAAGTTTTGGAATCCTAAAGGCATTCAAACTGAAGTATCTCCACGTATCAGATGAAATATATTAGTATGATTAGTATGATTCTACTCATTTCTTTTTAAAGTAATGATGTAATCCGTCAGGCATAAGTGGGCCAAAATGCCAAGGATGTGTGCTCTTCCTTTATACATCATTTAATATGATGTAAAAATGTGCCTCACATATGGACACTTTATATCTAAGCAACAGTACAATCCACAGGTTACTACAAATGGCTGTTGTCCTAAAAATATGCATATGGAGGAATTTGCAATGGGTGAACATGCCTAACCTGGCAGGCTCTGTTAAGATAGCTCAGAGCCCAGAGTATGTCATCATGCCTTGGCCATTTTGCAGTGAAATCCCTTGACGGAATTCTTTAAATAGTCAGAAATGATTGCCCAGATGCCAACAATAGAATTGAATAAACAAGCAGATGCTTTGACAAAATATTTTTCAAGTTTGTCTTTTCAAATTTTATTACTATTTGGTCCTTAGGTTACTTCCAATTGCAGTCTTTGCCTAGATTTTGTACTCATTTCCAGGTATAGGAAGCAGAAGGTTCACTTAGAAAGTTCACTTTACAAACTAGGGAAGCCTTGCAAAACTGAAAGGATCATATAACTAGCCAAAAATACACATGCTGGTGTCTGTCAAAGTAACTTTCAGCAAGCATCATCAAACCTCATTACTTGGTTCTTCCTTTCCTTTCCTTTCCTTTCCTTTCCTTTCCTTTCCTTTCCTTTCCTTTCCTTTCCTTTCCTTTCTTCTTCCCTTCCCTTTCTTTTCTCCCCTTTCCCCCCTTCTTTTTTCTTCTGGGATTTTTTTAAAGTTAACTTTTAAGCCCTTCTTAAATTATCTAATGGACTTCTAATAAAAACATATCCAGAAGAAAAAAGTTAGTAATTAATATCTCATGAACAGGTTTGTATTACAAAATGTGCTCTGCGGTTAGAGCTACAAAGCATATCGCCTGCTTGTCATAATTCATTTTAATGGAATTTGCAAAAACAGTTTCAACGCATAAATAAAGAAAAGGCAGTTGTTTAAAGAAGAGCGAAGGAAGAAGAAAAGGAGACATATTTAGGCAATTCCTCTTTGAAATATTTATTCCTACTAAGCAGATGGTTGCAACTGTTCTCTGCCAGATTGCCTTTCACAAAGTAAAACCAACATGCTGTGCCACCCAGTTTAGCTACACTGTACTTACTGGCATGCCTTGCCCGGTGTTTGTGAGGTCTGCTGGGTTCCTTTTCAGAGGGCTGTTCGTCTTCCCCCTGCTCTGTGCCTTCTGATGAGATTTCAAAGGAGACTACAGAAGGAGGTGCTTCTGACTGCCCTCCTTCTACTTGAGACTCTACACACCCCTTTTCGGCCAGAAATTTGGATGCTTCTTTTGCCTGGTCAGAACAGTCCAGAATCACTTCAACCTTAGTTAGAGAGGGTTCTCTTCTCTCACCTTCATGCGTCACTTGGATCTCTTTGCCACCAACAATCTGGACTATCTTGCCTGCCCACTGGGCAGAAGGCTCTTTTATCCAGCTAGTTGCTTCTTGTGTTAGGATCGATCCTGTCTCCAGGGGCTTGCTCTCTTGGACCTCCACAATAGTCAGACCAGACCCAGTGCTGCTGCTTTTATTCCTGTCAGGTGGAAAGGACAACTGCAACTCAACTGTAGAGCCAGGCTTGCCTCCAGTGAAGGCGGACGCCTCCGTGCAGTGTACTTTAGGGGCTTCGATCACTTTGGGAGGGATTTTGTAGCAGGGGATTATTTCTTGCTTTGCTCCAGAAAAATCCACAATAGTTTGCTCTGTATTTGTTGGGAGTGTTTCCTCAGTTGGCACTATGATCTGCAATTCCTGGTGGGGACTTGGCACTGCTGTTCTGATTTCTAGGGTTGTGCTTTCTTTATATTCCTTATTTTCAATGTCAGTGAGGTTTTCATGTTCTAGTTCAGGACTTAAAGTTTCATTTGCCCCATTGGAGAATCTGCAGATATACAACAAATTAAATAAAGTGTGCATAATTTGATATTCATGACCTTGCAAACCATTTTACATATTAGTATTATATATAGAAAACTGCCAGTTTGGTGTAGTGGTTAAAGCATCAGGCTAAACCTGGGAGGGCGCCCTGCAATGGCTAATATAAATATGATCTGGAAAAGCAAATATATTGATATCAATACAAAAGGCAGGCTAGTTAGAACAATAATCTTCCTTATAGTGATGTATGGGAATGTGAACTGGACACTAAGAATGGCTGATTGAAGAAGTGTCATTGCAAATCCTATTACAGGCTATGCTATTCTTACTTTACATCTCAGGCTACAATTCTGGATGATAATGTGCACACTTTCTAACTGTCTGTATAGATTTGGGTTTTTTTTTGCCAGAGGTGAATTTAAAATAAAATTAAAAGTGGGCTATAAATTTGGAGAGCCTAAATCTATTATATTACATGACACAGTCATTTGAAAAGCTATATATGATAAATGAAAACCACATTGCTCAGTATTGCTGAGTGATTCTTCACAACTAGTTTGTACCAATTGTTGGAAATACAATTTGGCTTAGGACCAATCCATAACATTTATTCAAACATGATGGAACCAGCATGAAAGACCAACATATTAATTTATGAAGTCCTGCGATTGTAGCTGGTTTTCATCACATTGTGTTACTTGGAGAATCAATGCTTGTGCTTCATACATATACACAATAAATTCATAAACATTTCCTTGTAAGAAGGAAGACTGGGGTTAAGCCAGATAATTGTTAATCTTTATTGGCAGCTTGGGTTGTTGGGTTGGATATGTGCAGGGAAATATCAAGAGGGAGTGGGGGAAACAAATAAAAAGAAAGAAAAAAAAGGAATGAAAGAAAGAAAGAGGGAGGAAGGGAGAGGAAAGGAAAGGAAAGGAAAGGAAAGGAAAGGAAAGGAAAGGAA